GTTCGGAGCTTGCTAAGATGTTTTAATACGCTCAGTGGACATTCTGTCAGAGCAAATGGCATTGTTTATGCAATAGTAGAGATTCACAGCACCAGCATCCCTGCATATCACCTCAAAGGCATTGGGATCCATTTCTGGTTGGGAAAAATTACCAATGTGAGACTTGATTTTTCTAAGATCATCACTGAAATTGGGGCAAAATGATGCTTTCTTGAGCAGTCAAGAATAATCATCTGCAGAGAGAAATACACTGTCAACTGTTTGGCCCTCTTTGTCTGCAACATCTAATGTCTTTCCTGTATAAAAATCTTGACTGTCGATGGTATTTGCTTGGCTGCATGGGTGAACTTAAAGTTATTGTTGTTGTGTCACTTGTTTGGCTGTATGATGCTTCTTGGTTAAGTGCTTGATCTTCTACATTATGTTGACTTTCAGCAACCTTATCTGTGGCTATAATTATATCACCGGCCTATCACATATTAATCTACCATAATAAACATGTTGGAGGGTGGAAGGGAGGTGTATAGGATTACTTATATAATTTTATATTATAATGAATGTAATTCTCAATTTAATTATAACTCTCATCCCCCACACATCCCTTCCTCTTTTCCTCATCATCTTCCTCTACCTACTACATTACACTACTAGGTTACAATTAGTAGCATCACAAGTAATTTACAATTTACTTGATCATAGATCACAATATAAGAGTAGACATCCAGATGAAGTTTGAGGAATTAAGGCTGTGATCCGATTGAGTGCCCAGCAATTCTGCTGGCACTTTTTCTGGTGCCTAGGTTTCACACAATGCTTCTAAATGAAATTGGCATGATAGCATGGTACCCAGGAATGGGCACTACCCATAGATGTATTATAAATAAATTGAGAGTTACATTCATTATAATATAAAATTATATAAGTAATCCTATACACCTCCCTTCCACCCTCGAACATGTTAATTATGGTAAATTAATATTATAATTATAGCTAACTTACTGTACTTTACTATACTCTGCTGCAGATGCATGTTAATCCTGAATGTCTGGTACTACATCCATTCATCACCTTGAATCCAGCCAAAAATCGAACGAGAAGCAAGAACAATCTAATAGCTAGGCCGGTGATATAATTATAGCCACTGATAAGGTTGCTGAGAGTCAACATAATGTAGAAGATCAAGCACTTAACCAAGAAGCATCATACAGCCAAACAAGTGACACAACAACAATAACTTTAAGTTCACCCATGCAGCCAAGCAAATACCATCGACAGTGAAGATTTTTATACAGGAAAGACATTGGATGTTGCAGACAAAGAGGGCCAAACAGTTGACAGTGGTATTTCTCTCTGCAGATGATTATTCTTCACTGCTCAAGAAAGCATCATTTTGCCCCAATTTCAGTGATGATCTTAGAAAAATCAAGTCTCACATTGGTAATTTTTCCCAACCAGAAATGGATCCCAATGGCTTTGAGGTGATATGCAGGGATGCTGGTGCTGTGAATCTCTAGTATTGCATAAACAATGCCATATGTTCTGACAGAATGTCCACTGAGCGTATTAAAACATCTTAGCAAGCTCCGAACAATGGTTATTATTTATATCATGGTATTTTCATTGTCCCAAAGATCCAACTCATTCCAAGTAGCATTATCCAGAACTGAAATAAAAACATGAGACGGAAAGGAGAATCCTGAGAAGAAACCAACATTATTCCCCAAATAATTTAACGGGTTTAACGATATATTGCAGCCATAGAGTGCGATAATTGCAGCAATTCAAACATCGATATTTCACTTTATGTTTTGAAATTTAAAAAACCCCATGGCAAAATTCAAGATATATTTATGTTTTATTGCATTCTTTCGGTTTCGAATATAAAAAGTAAATATTCTGGCTCACAGATGCCTTAGAATACGGCAATATTTTCTCGCTCCTTTTGTTTACAATTTTTATTTTCAAGCATTCTGATTGGCGGAGAGCAAAAATGTCAACAAACGCTGGCGGAGAGCAAAAATGTCAACAAACACGCTGATTGGCTTAGAACAAAATCTGCCCTTGTTCTTTTGCACGGGAATATTTTGATTTTATTTTCTTTTTGTCATTATGAAAACAGAGTTTATAAATGAAATTATAATGTCGTTTATCACATAACACATTCATATTTGAGATACATTTGAGAATATTAAAGAAAATACATTTGAGAATATTAAAGTTGTGTTTACCACAAAAGAATTACTTTTTAAAGCTGTGTCGGATGAAATATTACGTGTAAAATCCTCCGACTTCATTATACACGGTGAATTCGGTGGAAAATTTGGTCTTGTTACTCCGGCGTCAGCGACGGAGTTGAAAATTCGCCTCGGCTTTGTTTTTGTTTTTTTTTTATTATTTTTCGTCGTCGCAAGTCTGAAATGGCGCGAAATATACTAGTATTTAAAATGTGTATGTGATTGGATTTATCTATGTCCTAGTCTTATCTCTCAAGAGTTGTGGTGCACAACTTTGGCTAATTTTCCGATGCGCAATTCGATTTCGCTCGCATGATACGGCAATTCCTCCAAGAGGAACAAATAAACCGTTCTTTTCATGCTGTTCGATTAAGTTTAGATTGAATTGGGGTAAGAATATATTTAATATGTGTAGATTCTGGTCCTATTTTAGTAATATCGCTGCTATTTTGCCGTTTTACAAGATGATGTGGTGTGTATGGGCGCTTTGACTCGTCATAGTTTGCACAGGATTGAAGATTTAATATAACTATACAGGGTGTATCAAAAAAAATGTCCCAAATGTAAAATTTCCGTTTTTCAGGATATTTTGCAGAATTTGGCAATTTTTTGTGTTCCTAGAGATAGTTAAGACTTATCTGGTATACCTAGGCCAAGTTTGGTTTTTCATTTACAAAATTATGTTACCGGGGGGGTGGTTCCTTTCCACTGATATTGAGAGGGCTTGCGCGCGAAAATGTGAAGCTGAATTTGAGATATTATTTAGCTGTCTAAAAGTAGGAAGGCTTTTTAATAAGCTGTCAAAGTTTCAGGAAAAAATAATGCAAACTGGGAGCAACGCGCGACCCCTAAAAGTGACAAATATTTAATTGCGCGCAGTGGATTAAAGGAGCAGTGTCACCGCATGCGCATCTTTTCTGCGCATAACAAAAAATTGTCGGAAATTGTCGGAGATGTAATCGGAACTAATCGCTGCCGTCGTATGAGTGAACAGTGAACTGAATTACTGAAACGCTTTTATAGAATCTCTTCAACATGGTAAGTAAAAATTTACATATATTTACATTTTTGCGTACAATCTACATAGCATAACCAGTTTACTGTATTATGCGCATAGACAAGCCGTTGCGATTGCAAGAGTTCTTGCAGCATCAAAAGAAAAGCTAGTGGAAATCGTGTATGTCCTTGTAAAGGAAATAACGTCGAGTGCACGGCAGAATGTAAATGTGGCACAAGCAAGAATCCTTGTAAGAATCGGGTAAGTCTGCCTACATATCTTCAGCATAGCCAATATCGTTTCTTTCATACGAGATTTATATTTGTAATGTTGTTTTACTGTAGAATACGGCACAAAACACGGAACGTGAGCGCGACGACCGCGGCCAAAGCCGTGGAACACGTGGGCAAGCACAAGGCTTCAGACTTAGCAGGGTTAGTTCTTCACAAATGCTACAGTCCGAAGATGCTTTGAGGGAAAAGGAAAATAAAGATGTTAAGGTTGTGTGTGCTTGTTTTTTATATACCCTGTATACATTTATTGTATGTAAATTGTACTAGCAAACCTGTAGAATTTACATTCATGATATAATCATATAGGCTATAGGATAGTTCAAAGTTGAAACAGTATCTCCAATGTTTTTCTTACCAAGACTAATATTGTTTTACATATCGAAACATAATATGGTATTTTACTATTGTTGTAATATATCATACAGAATTGAGGCAGTCATGACCATTATTTAACTCAGGGTTTCATATAAACAATAACATTTTTGTCTGATAATTACAGCTGTTTATTGGGACTTTGGATGAAGGACTGGTGAGAAAACTTGCCATTAGAAGTTTGCGTAGAGGCATTGGTAGTATGGACTACATTGATACCCTACTAAGAATGGAAGATGACCTGGATGAGGATCTAGAAGATAGTGAACTTGGTGAGTTTGGAGAACCATCACCAGTAGAGCAAGACTCGGATCAACCTGATGAGTTCCCAAGTGCTGATGCACCAGATTGGTGTGTTTGTGGCAGATGTAGACCAATGCCACAGGAAATTGAAAACAAATGTTGCAAACAGAAAAAGTGCATAACTCTTACATCTCGTTTTTCCAAATTATGTCTTGATGTTGATGTACTAGAGTTGTGTATAAGGAACAGAGCAGACATTAGAAATGACCAAGAGGACAATAGTACGAGGGCATTCAGAAAGGCAGCATACAGGCAATTCATTCTTGCACGCTATGGCCGCCTAGGCAAGGGTAACAGACGTGTCTGTCCTTCCTGTACAGTACTGAAAATAAGGGAACGTTTTCCATCTGCAACTGGAATTTATATGGGATACAGGGAACATTAATTTATATGGGATGTATAAAACCTTTATTTATATGGAATGTAGAGAACTCAATTTGTTTTTGTTGGGCCATTAGGCATCATATTCACATGAACTATTTATTTTTTAAGAATCACAATATTATTATATACATTATATACATTAGTAGCAAAGCCAGACTGACAATTATAATGGTTATATAATCATTCCATATAACCAGGGAGCAGCATCCTCAAACAACTGCACATCAATTGTGGTATAACAACCGCCTAAAAAGAACCGGTTGGGTCAAAATGTCGAGATATGTTTTGTCCATATTATAATTGTTTTCCTAGTCAACAAATGTTAAAATGTGAACTTTGAAGGACTAAATTGTCAGGCTAGCTATGCTACTGGTTGATTTGTACAGTTTATTTACATTAAAAGATCAGGGTTTGAGTCTATTTATTAAATCTGCTCCTTGAAACAATGTCCTTTGTAGATGGTGGAGGTATGTGGGCAATGGTTGGGGAAATAAGAGCAGGGTCACTTGCATTTAAATCCACTGCTCTTGTAACACCACCAATACTATCATCATCCACTCTTCTTTTTATTATTTTGGCCATGAGTAATGGGATGTAGCCATATTCCTCCTGAACCTTTACTGTCTTGAGATCCCATTGTCGGGTTCTTGGATTGTACTTCCTGGTGCTAATTTCATCGCCACACTTTGTTTTGGCCGGCTGGAGGTTTTGATAGAAGTTCCAATCAATAGCTGCAAGCTGTCGTCTCGCTTTGTATGCACTGTATCTGGGTAAATAATCCATTGCATTTAAGTACAATTGATATATAATTATTATGCCACAAGAAAATTCACTTAACAAAATTGTGGTAGTTTGAAAATTAATTACCTGAATGGGGTCCTCTTTGGAGTATAAACCAGTCCAAGGCTATTAGCACATTCTATGCCACCTGTATGTCTACAAAATATAACCATTAAAACTTGTCACATTTATAAGTAAATTTGCTTTACATTATTAAATAATTACATGGTGTACCGATGCTGCAATAATATTACTATCACATTTAATATGCAGTAATTAATTGTCAACAATATTTCTTCTGTACCTGAAACGGGTATAGTACTTAAAACTGGCAAGTAGCTCAGGATTCAGGATAATCTTTTGCAGCTCTTGATAATCCTTATCTCGGCGACCAAACCACGCTAGATGCTCATCATGTTCATCCTCTTCATGGTCACATTGACGACCTTCCAGCCACTCATGCTCATTACATATATGATGGAGCAATCCAATCCATTTGTCCTAAATAAAAAAGTAAATATGTTAAGAAAATTTTTTTACATATTAATATACATTTATCATGGCATAGTACTGATACCTTCATAACTTTCAAGGCTTCCTGATCAGAGGTTTCGTTATCTTGTCGACATGAACTGGAACAATGCCAAAAATGGCGGATGATATGTGGTGCCCAGTCCTTCACCTTTTTCATTGCTTTAGGTTTTCCAAGCTAAATAGAAATGTTTCTTTTCAGATTATGCTTCTGGTTTTTTTTCACCTAAAGCAATATTTAAGCATCACACTAAGAATAAACAAACCTTATCCAGACACTTCTTGATGCTTTTCGATTTGTGCCAAACATCCAAACTATGAATTACATCTGGGTATTCATTTTCTAAAATCATAACACAACAGTCTGACTTAAATGAATACTACACTCCTTTTATTTTATAAGCTTCCAAACCTATTAACAACAATATTTGGAAGAACAGCCTTTGGTAAAATAATGGCAAAATATGTAATAGAGCTTACTTACCAAGAAATGCTTTTACAGATGTAGAGGCATCAGTAACCAACTCCACGACTTTTACTTCCTTCTGAAGACGATCCATACTTCGGTTTACTGCCTCTTTCTCCATATTTGTTGAGATGAGGCCAACATGCCTCTTGTCTAAGACTTCAATGTCAAGAATGTAATTGCTATCTACCTCAACCATAAAATAGCATAAATTCTTGGCATTGAAGCCTGGGGAGTCACATTGACCATCACCTCCAACAACAATATCTTGACCTTCAAACTGTTTCACAATTTCTCCTTTCATCCATTGCCACCAATTGTTGATCTCGGGAACCAAATAAAGTCGTTGAAAGCGATAGTAGCTGGACTTCGACACAAATTTCAGATTTAGGAATTTTGCTAAGCGATTAACCTTACCATAGTGGCTTCCAGATAGCATAATGGAGGCTGCAGTTTGTAAATTGTTTACAAAAATATTGTTCACTTCACGTGAAGAGTAGAACCTGTGCATGTGGCCAGATGAACAGGTAGAGCGAATAACAAGTGTTGTTCCAACAAAGTGATGTTCAATTGATGGTGCAGCAACACATCCAGGTGTCTGACATCGTGATGTGAATACATTAAGGATCAGGCTGAGTGTGCAGATAATTTTTTTATCTTGTCATAACTCATACTCATCTTTCAGGGAATACATTTCTTCACCTCTGCTCAGCTTCTGGTGTGGTCCAAATGATACAAGAGAAGTAGGGGAGTGTTGTGCCTGGTTGCATGGATTACTTGTCATACTCTCATCATCTTCTTCATCTGGCATTACATAAACACCATCACCTTCATCTGTAGAGTCTGTTTCTTCACCATCAATGGTATACTCAAGAGAACTGAAACTATTAAAAATAATATATACCTACTTTTAAAATTGGTTTGTGCACACAACCAAAGAGATGTGGATATTGGATAACCTATTTAACTATTTTTGTTTCCTAAACCTTATATGTATAAATGCCAATAGTATACATAATGACAATCATACTTTGCATCATCCTCCCCTTCGAAGTAATCATCTTGATCAGAATTTATTTTCTCAACCACTGACATTGTGAGGTCATGAAAACTGTAATCATGAATAGAAACATATACGATGTAAAATTGCGAAGTGTTTGTCAAATAAAATATAAGTAAATGATATATAGATATACAATACCTAACATCCCTGTCATCACCACTATCCTCTGACAACTCATCATCAGTAAACATAGATGTGTTCAGTCTGTTCGATGACTCCATTGGCTCACATATAGAACTATAAAATATAATTTCTCTTCAAACTTTATAGAAAGTTGTCACATAGGCTTTATAAAAAGGCCACATCAAATTAGCATAGACTTAAATATAATACTTAGTACTTTTCATGTTGAGATGTACTAGCTTCCTGAGCAATTGACATCTGTTGCTCTTCAGCAATAGGAGGCAAACTAGATGAGGGAACATCACTCTCTTGCTCCTGTTCCTTGCCAATTGGTGACACATGACATGGTGGCATAGAAGTCCCAATGCCTTGATCTTTCATTGGGGTAGATGTACTCCAGTCTAAAATGAATTGGTTATTAATTAAATTCACTAGGAATTGTGTTGCGCATTGATTGTGTATCAATTATCATAATTTCGTTTCGTTAACTTTTGCTATATTAGATTAGAAAAAAGTACTCCTGATACCTGAAATAATGCCACGTGGTTGATCGTTGTCAGATATCGCTATTGGATTAGCCGGTCGCGTAACTCGCGTTTCTTCTATCGGAATATTCAAATCCGCTCTTTAAAGAAACAAAATCATATAGTCAAACACTAAGATAGGAAATGTAGTCGTAAAGTGATGAGCTTTGAAAATACATAACGAAAATTTTACCTTCTACGATACTCCAAGGACAACAAATGCGCAGCAAAATCGCTGTTGCTATATTTGTTGTAACCGGCTCCATTCTTCGCTTCTCGCCAAGCCAAAAATACGCTTAACGATAAATAAATCCGTTTATTTTGGCTACTAAAACTTTCTGCGCCCTGAAATTTTCTTTTCCTGCCGGAATTATCGCGTTTGCCACCATGCTTTGCCCCCTGATTAGTCGCCATCTTGCGTTTGATAAACTTGAAAAAACAGCCTGTTATTTCAAGTTTCATATATGCGCAGAAAAGATGCGCACGCGGTGACACTGCTCCTTTAAATGCATGGTTGATTTTAGCGTGACCGATCTCATGCAAGGCTGTGCAAATGAATAAATTAAAGTGAGAAACTGAACAAGAAGACGAAGCGATTTAATAACAAGATTTTTATTCTTGATGGTAATCCTCAACATTTCTACCATTTCTTTCTAAGCAAACTGCGGCTCGTCTGAGCATGGTAAACACTGAACGGCGAACCACATTTGTCTGTCCTGCCTCAAATTATCCATTTCGTTCAAAATTCTTTCTTGCAAATCGCCTACGCTACCACCGGCAAATCTAGGCGAATGGACAGACAAATGGTTTGCTGTTCAGTGTTTAGTATGCTCAGACAAGCCGCAGTTTGCTTAGAATGAAATGGTGGACATGCTGAGGATCAACATCAAGAATAAATCGCTTTGTTTTTGTGTTCAGTTTCTCGCTTTAATTTATTCATTTGCCTAACTTGTATGAGATCGGTCACACTAAAATCAGCGATGCATTAAATCCACTGCGCGCAATGAAATATTTGTCACCTTTAGGGGTTGCGCGTTGCTCCCAGTATGCATTATTTTTCCTGAAACTTTGACAGTTTATTAAAAAGCTTTCCTACTTTTAGACAGCTAAATAATATCTCAATTTCAGCTTCACATTTTCGCGCGCAAGCCCTCTCAATATCAGTGGAAAGGAACCACCCCCCCGGTAACATAATTTTGTTACTGAAAAACTAAACTTGGCCTAGGTATACCAGATAAGTCTTAACTATCTCTAGGAACACAAAAATTTGCCAAATTCTGCAAAATATCCTGAAAAACGGAATTTTTACATTTGGGACATTTTTTTTGATACACCCTGTATAAGCGCGAATTCCAAAGGCAAAGTGTAAGACAAAGCAAATGTATCATGCGGTTTATTTACATTTTTGAACAATTGAACTTCTATACTTTCTAAAGTACAATGTGCTTCTGAATTTCGCGATCGAACATTTATAGGTTTGCAAGGTATCTAAATGCGAATATGAACTGTATTGTTTATGTTCAGAAGCTCTATTAAAGACTGGCACGTGCGCCGGAGTTAACGCCAGAACAGGCGTCTTGTTATTTCTTAAACTGTGAAAAGTCCTGATCTCATTCAAGTTTCCCTCTAATTTAGTAAAAATACAAATATTTAATAATAAAAATTAGCAATAAAAAATTGATTCAACGTTTCGATGTCATCTTAACATCATTATCAAGAATAAAGGTTAAATACACTACACTAGTTTAAATAGTCTAAAGATAAAAATGGAATATATTACAATAATTACATGTAGTAAGTAAAAACTAATGACTTAGAACAGTTTTGATTTTATCGAGTACGATTGTCCATTGAGATTAGGCTTATATTGTTTGATTCATAGCATCTCATAAACTAAACAATCGAATTTGTTCATGCATTTGCGAAGGACGGAAAATTGTTTGTTAAGGTTGTCTACGCTCTGTCCATGTATTTCTTTGACATGTTTCCCCACAGCGCTCATTTTATGCTCTTCAATGCGTTGGTATAAGTGTCGAGTCGTGTACCCGCCTTTATTCACATGCTCTCTCTTTTGATGTTTATATTCCTTGTACAAATTGGAACCTGAAATGCTTTATTTAAATTATGCACCAAATATTAAAAAAGCTGGCTATAATAATTCCAATATACATTCTATATTGAAAAGACAGTACTTACCAGAGCCAAGGATTTTAGATGAAAACATGTTATAGCCCGATGTTACCCGCTTTGCAGGCAGGGCTTCAGTTTGAACAGAATTACTAGTCTCTCCAATTTCTTTCCTTTTTCGTCTCATCCTTTCATTCCCAATGCACTTCTGCAATACAGTAAATGTTAGTGTATGTAATATATGTCACTGTCAGCCATAAATACGTATTTAGAAGTTTAGTAATGAATGATAAATATGTAAGTGTGATATGGAAATGATTATGGAAATAATGTCTACGAATTATATTTATATATACAAATGTATTTGCAAATATCAGTATGAAATAGAAACGATATTCATAGAATCTTCATTTTGTTGATAAGAACTGACCGGTTTGGTAGCCAGCAAGCTAAACATTTATCCCGAGACTCAGTAATACTGATTCACTGATTTCGTGCAATAAAAAAGGGTTAAAGTGAAACCTTAACTGTTTGATAGCTTACTCCTACCACGTCAGCATCAAGGGCTATTCTTTCCTGCATTTCTTTACAAAGTTGTTTTCATGCCATCCTCATAAAACTTCCTCAGGAGAGACTTTTGCTCATTGCTTAAAACATCATAACTTGGTCTATCAGTAGCCATACTGGCGATAGAACAGCGCAATATAAGGCAAGCAGCCACCTTAAATAAATAGGCCATCAGGTTGTTTAGGTGTTTGTCTGCGTCACATATTTCTGACGTTCTGAATTTTAATACACTCACTATATGTGATTTAGAACACGAAGAACGGGTGCCCTGGATGTGTTCTGTTGCAAGTAGGTCTGCATGCATAAGTCTGCAGCATGCTGTACATTTTGCAATGGTTAGGCAATGTATATTTCGTTCAGTTTTTAATTTTTAATTAAAAGGTTTCGAAGTGAACAACATCTTCTCATCTGTATTTTATATCTTTTGTTTATAAATTATGTATACATAGTAGAACGTAGATGAGAGAACTTTGTGTTAATCAATATTTCTTTATGCTAAATGTTGTTTGATTTATTGCTATTGTTGTCCCGAAAATGTTAATGATCAATAAGTTAACGCAATTCTTCTTTGTTTCGTTCTATTGATTTTCACTTTACGGAATATACAGGGTTTAAAAAAACCCCGAAAACCTTTGAGATCACGCATAGCAATGTAATTGTTAGAGTTTGAATGCCTAAGCACTCTGTTGGGACCCACAAATGTTTGCCATAAGCATTTTTATGCATGCATATGAATGCAGTAAAATTTGCTTGTATGCGAAAATTATATTTATTAACATTATTTACAATTTACAAATATGGATATTTAACAATATTTAAATGTGCATCTCAATCACCATGACCTTCGACATGTCCCTTTTCTCTAGCAACACAAAGCATTTTACTGAGTTGCATTAAATC